GGGGGAACTTTCTTGAAGAGGGCACATCTCAGCTGAATTTTAATGATAAACAGGAATTAGCTGGTGGACAGTGGAAGAAGGGCATGCTAGGCAAAGGGAACAGCATATATGAAAACATAGAGATATGAGAGAGAAAGGGAACATTCATCCATCTGTCAGTCCATCCATCTGTCCAACCACTCATAAGTAAAGAAAGATTTATTGAGCACCCAGTATGTGTCAATCCAAAGACTAGTTCTGAAATTCCATTAGTGAACTTCCATGGGGTTTACAGTCTATCAAGAATGGCAGACCTAAAACAAGGAATTATGAGTGATGAATGTTACCTGTGGGTTGCTGTAGGAAGGGTGCTACAGGAAGTAGTCCAACTTCAGTCAGTTTGGTGGTAGCATGGAATTTATTTGGAAAAGTAGAAACAGATGATGCTGGAGAAATGGAGGTGATGTGGGGGCTAGAGACAGTGGGCCACAAAGGGCCTTGTGCACTAGTCTCAGCTACCATGGCAGAGATTTTCTTATTAGAATTCAATTTGTTGGGAGTGTTGTGTGCTCAGCTGAAAAACTGCTTATTTCAGACTCTCTTGTAGATTGAGATTACCATATGACTAAATTTTGGCCAATGAGATGTAAAAGAAAAGGATGGATTTTAGAAAACCTCTTTAAAAAGAGAGCTGACTCAGTCAGCCTGTGCCCTTTTACCTTCCCTCCTTTCCAGCAGCCATCTTGTGACCACAGGGACCATGAAGATGAAAGTCATGTGCTAAAGGTTATGAAGCGGAAGGATAGAAAGATCCTAGAGTTTGTAGATCACAGATGCTGATGGGTTTGCTTTTGAACATGTTACATTTAAGCCATTTGTGGGGCATACCCTCAGGTAATACAACATCCAATTGTCTGGTCAACTTGGCTGTCATGGAAAGTTCACCTCTTGCTCCACACATGAAATGCCAAATAAAATACAAATACAAATGCAGAACCACATTTCAACAGGAGCTCTCTTGACACCAGAAATGAAGAGACAAGTTTGTGGTAGGAGGAAGTTGAAGGCACATGGCATGTAGGTATTTTTTCTTAAAGGCTGAGGTGTTAACTGCCATCTTGGGCAGGTGTTGAGGTCATGAGGCCATTTATGGTGAGAACTGGTCCCTGGCTGCCTGAGTAAAGTCTGGACTCAGGAAGTGGCTCTCTATTCTCTGAACTTGAATTAAAAACCTACATCTGGACTGAGCACATGGCCCATTGCTGAGCAAGCTTGTTGCTCAGGGCTGAGGTTGGAACAGATTTGATGTGAGAAATTGGAACCACGAGGTTGAGCACACTGTAAGAGGCCAGATGAGAGAGAGATGAGGGATGTGGAAACTGACTTCCCAAGAGAACTGGAAGCAACAAACTCCATAGTGTGTAAGTGGAGACAATCACAGTTGCCCCACAGGGTGGCCTGCACAGAGGACAATCTCCCTGAAGATGACTTGTGGAGGAAAACACAAAATATGGAAGGAAACCCAATGGCACAAAAGTGAGCAGACTTGAGGAAAATACCCGCAAGAAATTAGAGATAACAGTGAGATCTGAGCATGACTGTCATATAAGCATGTTGAAAGTGTGAAGGAAGAGGGACACCTGGGTGGCTCAGTCAGTTAAGCATCTGACTCTTGATTTCAGCTCAGGCCATGATCTCTCATGGTCATGAGACTGAGCCCCAGGTGGAGCTCCTTGCTCAGCAGGGGGTCTGCTTGAGATTCTCTCTCTCCTCTCCCTCTAACCCTTCCACAACATGTGCATGCACTCTATCTCTCTTTCTCTTTCTAAAATAAACAAATAAATCTTTAAAAAAATGTGTGAAGGAAGACGAAGGAATAGAATCCATAAATCAAGCACAGGAACATTATGGAGAAAAATAAATCTAGAAATGAAAACATATGAAGAGAATAACAATGTGATTGATGGCTTACATATAGACCCAACTGTAGTGAGTTTGTAGAAACTTGTGAGGAAATTATCTGGAATATGGGACCCAGAGGCAAATAGATGGGAAACATAAAGGAGAAGTGAAGAAATACAGAGGTAGAAATTTTAAGTGTTGTCTAGCAATATCCATTAGTAGATGGTGCTTTTTGTATATACATTTTTACAAGTGTCTGTATTGTGTGTTCATTTTGCCTTCTCATTGGACACCAAGATGCCTTCCCGACCTGTCAGTTCCTTGAGCAAGGGAAATGGATTTGACATGTCTTTGGATCCCTACCTCTACCCTCACACTCAGTCCTTCTTCTGTAAATGTTGGTTGAAAAATAAGGGAATCAGGGCAAGATCTCCTTCCCCTTCCTCATTTGTGTTTCTGAATGAGATCAGGCAACATGATACAGAAGAAAAAGCACAAGTTTCTGATGTGGATAGAATGGGATTTGAAACTCTCTTGGGCAAAGTTACCTCCCTCTCTGAGGTTCAGCTTCCACAGCTGAAGAGTCAATGGGTCTGTCTCAGAGGGCTGCTGTGAGGTTCATATGGATGTTCTCTGTGAAAGCAACCAGCACAGGCCTGGTTCATAGGAGGCTCTCAACAAATAACACCTTTTCTTTCTGCCCTTCTTGGTCACTGATGTGACTCCCTGTGTATTTGGCAGAGAGAAAATTAATCATGGCTTAGTGTGTGGGGATAATGGTTAAAATCATTACCATCCAATTTGGATACCAACAGCTTCCCATGTCATTTAACTCCATTATGTCATGGATTGTCACAGTGTCTGCTGTTTTACCTTCATGAAGAAGGAAAGGGGAAAAATGTTCTTTCCATAGAAAGAATTTCCCAATCTGTGTCCACCCTGGGGTGTGTGAGGGAATAGTGTCAGTGACATCCGTAGGAGTTGCTATACCCTTATAGTGGTGGCACTTGTTTTAAGTGAATGAGCAGAAACTGTAATCTCTGAAGATGGCTTATGGACAAAACATTATGTTTCATAGGCTTCTTTCCCATTTCCATTCCCCCAGCAGATCTGTTCAAGTATCTTTGATTAAAAAGAAATGAAAAACAAAAATATGCCAGAACAAAAGAATCTCCCAACTTTCATTTTTCTCATTGTAAAAGGTAACCCTGGCTCACTGTAGAATATTAGTAAATATAACATTTAAATATATAAATGAGTACATTAATATCATGATAACCCACCGAGGTGGACCACACTGAGGCCCCGGCTTCTTTGCCTTCTCTGGACCTATGTCCTTCACCACGTTCTTCTGTAGTGCCCTCCCACTGTGTGTGGGCTTTTTTTCTCATAGCTTGAAGCTGAGCTTCACCATCCGGCTTCTTTTGGCCATTAATATAGGCAGAAGTCACCTGGTGCCAGTTTTGAGCCTGGGCCTCAAGAGGCCTTTTGTGATTCTGTCAGTACTATAGAAGGACATGTCCAGGCTAGCCTGCTGTCCCTGGGAGAAGGAGGAGAGACCCTTGACACACAGTTGCCCCAAAACAGTGTCTCAGGGAAGCCCAGTCTGGACCTGGGGCCCAGGTGAAATGCAGACACCCTGTGAGATCCAGAACTACAGGGCAGGCCCAGAGCAAATTAGCTGAACCCCCAGACATAGGAGCAATAAATGCTTATTGTTCTTTTTTGCTGAAGATTTGTATTGTTAGTCCTGCAGCAAAAGCTAACTAATAGTAATCATTCTTACATTTTGGGCCTTCTCATTTCAGTTTCTCTCTCTCTCTTCCCTCAAGCTAGTCTCACTACTACTTTTATGGCCCTCTCTTTCTGTTTTTCCCATGTGTCTTTTTGAGAATATTTATACCCACATATGAAATCATTCCACATGTGCAATTCCCTGTCTTCATCTTGTACCTTAATAACATTGAAAATTCTCTATAACCTTCTTTTTGTAAAGGCATTAATGTCTCATGATAGAGCTCTACTGTAATTTAGGTAAACCCTTATATTATCAGAAATTTAGATCATCTCCATTTATTTTTATAATACAAAAAATTTCAATGTCCTTGTTTCCTCGTATTTGCCTGTATTTAAATTTTTTTCCCGTTAGAGAGATTCTTAGGATTGGAGATACTGAGTGGACTGAATATTTTAGAGATTTTTGACACAAAGTGCCAGATTGCTTTCCAGCAAGGTTTTAACTTTTTATTCTCAATCTGCTGAATGTGGGAGTGTCTATCTCTTTCATCCTCACAAATACTTAGTATTTTAGTTAAATGTTTTAGGTAGATATAAAAGGGCATCTAGTTTGATTAACATTTCTCTGATTCTTGAACATTTTTCATATAATTTTACATGTTGGTATTTCCTTTCTCTTAGGGCCATTTACATATTTTTTTCTCATAGAGCAAAAGTATCTGTTGATGGTAAATTTGACCTAGAGAATCCTGTTTTACATTATTATGTGATCATACCTACTTTTGTTTTCCTTCGGGATTTTTTTTCATTGTTTTGAAGATTCTTTTAAACTTTCACAGGCTCCCACCTCTTGCCCTTATGGATATTATAGATGTAGGGGCCAGGGACAGTTCCCCACCAAGCCCAGCCATCTTGTCATGGAGATTATGCCAAATTTAAAACAATCAAGGCCCAAAGGACTTGGCCTTCCCCCGCAACCACCTAAAATAATTCAGATAGAGGAACTGCTCCAGGAAGAGAGCTGTCACCATAGAAAACTACCCTGTAATATGAACTAGGTGTGGTGGACAGGGAAGAATGGAGCAAGGCCTGTTGCAACAAAATCCCCTCTATGTCCTGTTATTTCTGGATGACCCAGCAAACATTGGTTGACCAAACATTTACTCTTTTTCTTCTTCCTGTGGATCCCATTTCTTCCTTTGAATTCCCTATCCCCTTCTCCTTAGTTCAGGATATACCTCATTTTGTCCGACTGATTTTAGAATCTCATGTCTGTGTGGATTCTCCATATGTATGAAATTAAATTTGATTTTCTCCTGTTAATCTGTCTCATGTCAATTTAATTCTTCGTCCAGCTAGAAGAATCTTGAAGGATGGTGGGCCTAGACGCCCGGAGCCAGCGCGGTGAGGACCATGTTGCTCCCGAACATCCTGCTCACCGGTACACCAGGGGTTGGAAAAACCACGCTAGGCAAAGAACTTGCATCAAGATCAGGACTGAAATACATTAATGTGGGTGATTTAGCTCGAGAAGGGCAGTTATATGATGGCTATGATGAAGAGTATGGATGCCCCATTTTAGATGAAGACAGAGTAGTTGATGAATTAGAAAACCAAATGAGCGAAGGTGGAGTTATTGTTGATTACCATGGTTGTGATTTCTTTCCTGAACGCTGGTTTCATATAGTTTTTGTGCTGCAAGCAGATAACAGTGTATTGTACAAAAGACTTGAAACAAGGGGTTATAATGAAAAGAAACTAAAAGACAATATTCAGTGTGAAATTTTTCAAGTTCTTTATGAAGAAGCATTAGCATCCTACAAGGAAGAAATAGTACATCAACTGCCCAGCAATAAACCAGAAGATCTGGAGGATAATATCAATCAGATATTGAAGTGGATTGAGCAGTGGATCAAGGATCATAGCTCCTGACTTACAAGACTGGCCACTTTACAACCACTCTTGTTATATCCCTGCCATAATGAATAAATTGTCCAGTTATCAGTAAAAAAAAAAAAAAAAAAAAAAAAAAAAAAGAATCTTGAAGGATATAGAAAAAATTATTTCCTCCCCTACATAGATAATCAGTGAACACTTAAAGAGTGATTTTCTTGACCAATATTCTCCGATCCTAATTTCTTTTTCCACAAAATATCCCTCCCAGTCATGTTTTCTCCACCCCTGTGATTTCTGAGCCCCAGAGTCACATACAGTGTGTAGGTAACAAGCAGGGCTGAAAGATGGGACAGTTGAACAGTTCAGAATCCTTGGAGGAGGCAGAGGCCCAAAGCACTTCCTGAGGTGAAGAGGACCTTGGTCACAGAGTCAGACTCCTACCTGCAGCTCAGGAAAGGCTCCGTGCCTGTGTACAGCCCTGAGGATCCACAACCTAGAACCTGGGCTCATGGTATCTCCTTTGGTAGCACACTGAGGCAGCTGTCCAGGTCCCAGGTCCTGCTGGGAGCTGGGAAAAGGGAATGAGAGACATCCTTTCAGGCCTCTGCTACCTAGTAGTACATCTCCCCAACCAGAAAAAGAACATATTGGCCACTTTTAACACCTCCCTGAAGTGTCTGGGATTAGAGAAGGATGAGATTATTAACATGACAGAGAAACTGACACATGTGCACAGATTCCCTGAAACTGCACCCACACAGCCATCCTTGCCTCAGCAGGTGAATGACTTCTCAGTAATGGGTACAGAATATGCCATCCAAAAATATGCCAACTTGGCATATCGATTATTTTGAGCTGAAGGCAACTGAGAAGAAGCAGATATAAGGCAAGCTCTCAGCCCTCACCACATTTACTTGAAAGCAGGACATACATTTTATTTTATTTTTTATTTTTATTTTTTGGTAATATGCTATATTTTATTTTTTACTAGTTTTTTTTAAATTTTTATTGTTATGTTAATCACCATACATTACATCATTAGTTTTTGATGCAGTGTTCCATGATTCATTGTTTGTGCATAACACCCAGTGCTCCATGCAGAATGTGCCCTCCTTAATACCCATCACCAGGCTAACCCATCCTCCCAACTCCCACCCCTCTAGAACCCCCAGTCCATTTCTCAGAGTCCATTGTCTCTCATGGTTTGTCTCCCCCTCCGATTTACCCCCCTTCATTCTTCCCTTCCTGCTATCTTCTTTTTTTTTTTTTTCTTAACATATATTGCATTATTTGGTTCAGAGGTACAGATCTGTGATTCCACAGTCCTGCACAATTCACAGCGCTCACCATAGCACATACCCTCCCCAATGTCTATCACCCAGCCACCCCATCTCTCCCACCCACCCACCACTCCAGCAACCCTCAGTTTGTTTCCAAGCAGGACATGCATTTTAAAGGTGCACTCCTCCCTTCTCTAGGAAGGACAGGAGTTAATCACTGAGACAACTCTAGATGTTTATCAGCTTGGAGATGGCAACAAAGGAATTTACACAAAAACCTTGCTAAAACTAGCCCTTATTCTCCACTATTCCCCCATATATTTACCTTCTCACAATTTGATGCCCTAGAAACTCAAAGACCTTTTCTTTTGTCTTGTCACCTCTCTAAAAATTAGCTGTTCTTTTGTTAAGATGCTGTGTAAGCCTTAGTTCTAAGGACCCTTCCTTTACATTTCACTGAGTGCTTTCATATGTATGTGCCATGTGCATGTTAATGAACTTCTATTTGTTCTTTCTTTTGTTGATCTTTTGTCAGCCAAGAATCTAAGATGGGTAGAGGAAAGGAATTCCACCCCCCCATATAAGGCTGGCTATGCCCTGTGAGGGTTGTATCCCTTAGGGCCTCCGTAAATGGTTCTCCTTCTGGGGTCTAGTAACTGCTCTGTGCCCTTACCCTTCAGGCTTGGGAGGGGGAGATGTTGGCCCAGTACAACTTGCCCCAACTGTGCTAGCCTTTGTGGGTACATGTACCTGCCCACACCTTTATAGGTCTTCCTTTATTATATTCCCCTCAAATTTTCCATCTAGAAATTTCAAGCTGCTTCCTGTTGGGATCCTGGTCAATAATACTGTTCAGACTCCCTTTGAGAAACTCAAGTCTTGATCTCAGTTTCTGCCCCTTGAAATGAGAGGGTTGGACAGTCCTCAGTGAGCCTTTGAACCTCTGGGACTGGTCTCATACCTGAACTTTCTCACCTCCATGTCTTTGTCAACACTGTTCCCCTCCAGGAACACCCTTCCCCAATGTCTCTTCCAGTTAGGACCCTACTCTTATTTTAAGTTCTATTTCAAAGGATACCACCATCACAAAATCTTTCCTGATCCTTGCAGACATCTTTAAATTTCTAGAGCCTTTTATTACAATCATTTGTTCTTCCTGACTCCTTCAGCTCTGCATTAAAGACAGCAGTAAATATCTGCTGAGTGAAATTATCCTCAGGTTGTAGCTCATGACACTGGCTGGGAAGTGTTTGCTCAAGATGCACAACTTTCAGAGCAGAGCCCAATCTAGAATCCAGGTCTCTGGATTCTAAATGTCAGAGAGGAAGAATTTCCTCTGCCCTTCAAAATCCTTCTAGTTGGACTAAATCAAATTGACATAACACAGATTAACAGGAGAAAATCAAATTTAGTTTCAAATGTATGGGGAATCCACATGGATGTGAGATTCCAAAGACAGGGAAAATGAGGTGTATGTAAGGAGAAGGGGTAGGGGTCTGGGACTTCAAAGAGGAAGAAAGTAATTCACAGGAAGAATGAGAGTAAATGTTTGGTAAACAAATGTTTTCTGGGCCCACAGAAACAATGAGACATAGAAGACTTTGACCAAACAGGCCTTGCTAGTTTCCTCCCTGTCTACCATACCTAGTTCATATTACAATGTAGTTTTCTATGGTGACAGCTCTCTTCCTGGAGCAGATCCTCTACTTAAATTCTTTTAGGCAGTAGAGGGGAGGTAAAGAGCTTTCCCTGAGTCTGCTGGGTTTTGATAGCTTCTAACTCAAAATAATCTTCATGCCAGAGTTGCCCATCTTTGGGGGGCTGCCCTTGGCCCCTACACTAACTTGTCTTTGTGTGATCCCCCTTTCTGGAGTCCCTGATCCTCCAGGAAGCCAGGCCTGGTGACTTTAGCAGGATAGTCTAGATTCCTTTCCCCTTGCTCACAGGAGATTTTAATTGTATACCTTTTCTAGGCACCCTAAACAAGGAAACTGGTGGAAAAAATGTTTCTGGGTGGAAGGACTGTGGTAGCTTTGGTGGAGGGATTAATGGGGAGGTTAGTGCAGGGTGGGCTCTGAAACTCCCTGAGCTGATATCCCAGCTGCATCATATAACTTAGCCTCTTTGAAACCCAGTTCTCTCATCTCTGAACAATGGAGCTAGCAATAGTATCTACTTTATAGGGTTATTGTGAGGATTAATTTAGAGAGCAGATAAAGTGTTTACCTCAAGTCCAGTACATACAAAGCATTCAATATGACTATTACCACTTGCTGTTATTAAAGGGGGATGAAGGGAGGAATAGACCATGCATCTAAATGCATGAAGAGAAATCAAGTCAACAAAGCAAACAGATCCATTTCAGCCTCTTGGTCGACTTGGAGGAAGAACAAGTCAACCATGTGGCTACATCTTGGAGGAGACCGTGTATCAGAAGAAGGAGAGTTGGAAGGAGGTGGGGTGGAGTCTGGTGAAGTCTGGAGTCAGTCAGAGTGAATGTGGCCTTTTTCCCAGGCAGGGAGCAAACCCAGTAAATGACATGAGTCCTGATGAGTTACTCAAACCAGCGAACCCCTTGGCAAACCAAGGTAGCTAGGACAATGGGTGAATTACTATGGGCAAAGCATCCCAAAGCCTTCAGCTGGATTTGAGTGGGTTAAGGCTTTAAATCAAGTTCTGGTTATGAAAAATAAGATTCTCCATGATGAGGGAACAGAAGGCTGGCTAAAGACAGCATAAGCTGACACCCTGCAACCTCCCCGCCACCCCCTACTCCTGGGTGGGACATGTGTGACATTCTTCCAGGAATCTCCCAACTATCTTAATGTTAATGCCTTACCAGAGGGGTAAACAACCTTAACTTGACAATGGCAAAGCTTCTATTATCTTGTAGGTTTGAAAGTTCTTTCCAAACCTCCCCTTTTCCTTACCTCCACCACTCCCAAGTATATAATCAGCCACCCCTCACAACCCCCATGCAGCAGTTCTTTCTGCCCACGGGTCCTGTCCCTGTGCTTTAAAAAATTACCTTTTGCACCAAAGACATCTCAAGAATTCTTTCTTGACCGCCGGCTTCAAACCCTAATGTTCTTTCCTACATCATCAGTACTAAAGACCACAACCAAAGAACACAGCTGCTGTGTGCAAGACTTGGTGTTGATACCTGCCCCCACCTTGTACTTTGGTGCTTCTCATCCAAAGGTAGAGGCTGTGGCTTCAGGGGCATGTTACTTGCCAGGTGAGAGTCTTGTTGACAGGTAGGGAGAGGCTGTTCACCAATCAGACCCGAGGCCTTGGAATAACAGACAGTCTTGTAACTTTCCTTCAGTTTTGGGCCCAGAAAAGAACAATGATGGACAAGAGCATCATTGCTGAACCAACATGGGCACCTGCGCTGATCTGAGTTTGGGATTCTGTGTCTTGGTGTGGCCAGGCCCCTGATTGCCTAGTGCTCCTGGGGGCCCCAAGTGCCTACTCAATAGCAGATAAGACCTGATATGTGTCATGGTCTCCTTTTCTATGCCCCCCCAGGCACTTTGGGAACAAACGTGGCTGTGATGGATGCTGCCCTATTGTACCGGGGATGTACCAGGCAGGGACTCCTGAACAGAGGCCCTCTGAGTCTTTGTTCCCTTTGACATGCTGCTCTCAGGGTAGGATCCATGAATTGTGCTTCCCTTCTGAGCTCTGTGTAAGAGGCCACATCATCAAGGGCACTGGGGAGATTGTCTCTGACATACAACTTGGAGAAGATAAAAAGCTGAAAAGTGGGGTTAACCTATGAACACAGGCAGTACACCCTGGGTTTCTGAATAGAATGCAGGGCCACCTGAAGA